GCGAGGGGCACGCTGGGCACGGCCTTGCTTCCCAGGCAACGAGGCTTCAGGGGCGAGCCCCAGGCCTCAGTGCAGTCTGGCAGCCTGCCTGTAGGCGGGGACCCCCATGCTGTGCAGGCGGCCAGGACCCAAGAGTGGGGCTCTAGGGGGCAGCAGTGCCAGGACGTGGGGTCTGCCTGGCACGTGTGCTGGCTGGGCCCGGGGGGCTGCGGGATGGTCCCCGAGGGACGGGGTCCTGGCCAGAGGTCAGAGCCGGGGGTGGGGCAGGCTCCGGACACCTGGCGGGGTCTCTCCCAGCCTGAGTGAGCCCGGCCCCCCCATAGAAGGCTAAACCGCGGGCGGTGCCTGGGCCCGGGTGGCGCAGGCTTCTGGAGGCGGGACGGGGGCTGCGTGGCTCCCCGTTCTGTCCTGATGGGGGGCGGGGCGGCGGCACCTCCCACCGGCGTTCAGGGACAGCGTGGGTGCCCAGGCCGGGCGGGAGGGCAGGGGAAGGGGCATGGGGGGCCCCGCAGCCAGGCGGTGGCTGAGCAGGTCCTGGCACGGCACCGGCCGGCCCGCAGCAGGTCCCCGGAGACCCCGCGGCCCAGTGTCCTCTGTGTGACCTTGGGCAGGCCCGCGGCCCGTAGAGCCCATGACCAGAGCAGGCTGGCCGTGGGGCCCGGGGGTCTCAGCAGAGGGTCCGGCCAGGGGAAGAGCCAAGACTGGCTCGGCGGGCGGGGTGGGGCCGGCGCCTGGGGCATGGGCTCAGGCATGCCCGCGGCCCGGCCGCGCACTGGCGGCCCAGGCCCCACCCCCTGGTGGCCAGGGTGGCAGCTGGTCTCAGCTGGGCCCCGAGGAGTGGGGTCCCCCAACAGGGCTGGGCCCTGGAAAGGTCCCGTGTGGAGGCCCCAGCTGCACCCTGGGCCCCTGCGGCCGAACACCCCGCCTCCTGGGCTGTGTGGGCTGCAGCTGGCCGGCCCGTGACCACGGAGGCGGCGTGGCTGACAGGAGACGGGGTCTGCGCCGCGTCCGAGCTCCTCGTGACCGTTCCCAGCAGGAAAGCTGCTTTCGCCACCTGGGACGGGGGTGCCAGGCCGGGACCTGTCTTTGGCTTCCTCCCCAGAGGGCGCCCCACAAAGGCCTCAGCCTCCGCTGGGCTCCCAGTGGGGGCCGCAGAGCCGGGAGGCCGAGCCCCCAGAGGGACGCAGCCAGGGGCTGCGGAGGTGCCGGGGCGGACGCCCAAGCCTCACGTCCCAACTGGACCGGCGCAGCTGACCGCCCCAGGTGCTCCCGCTCCCGCGGG